GTGCCCTCCGTTTTTACTATATGCTATTGTGTTTTTAACAAAAAATGAGGTTGGATTTTTTGGTACAGATAATCGTCAGAAAGAGTTCGTTTTAAATTATCATTAATTTTATAAAATGATTGTCTATTCTATTTATTTATATTGTTTTATTTTATTTATTTATTGTTTTATTTTATTTATTTATATTGTTCTATTTTATTTATTATATTGTTTATTTTATTTATTTACTGTATATAGTTTTATTTATTTATAATAAATAAAGTTTATAATATAAAAAAAATTTTTATTAATAGTGATAATCTAATACTAAAATAGATTTATTATAAATATTAATATAAATAAAAAATTTATCACTATTTATTTTATTTATATGTTTATATTATATTTAGATTAATATTTTAAAATAAAGTTTATAATATAAAAAAAATTATTTATTAATATATTGTATATTAGCTATATAAATCTAGATTTAGAATATTTGTTATTAAAATAAAGTTATCCAATAAATAATTTAGAACCAATTAAAAAGAAGCTTTTAAAATTTTTATATTTGAAATTATTGTTTTGATAAAATAAAAAAACTGAATTTTTGCTTGTTTTTTCTAACCAAATCATTATAATTTTTAAACAATCTACAGAAAAATTACAAAATATCTAAAAAAAATCTATACAAAATGCATTTACTTCAAGAATTATTTCTATTTCTTAGAGAGAAACTGATATAAACATCAAAGTTACATCTTTGAATAGAGTCATATTGCAAATATTGATGAAAAGAAATTTTGTACTAATATTTTTATATATTCTATTAGGTTTTCAATTATAAGATGGGTATGATTTCGAATCAGTTATTCAACAAATTCTTAAATCAAGCAACATTTTAGCCAACAAAGTCAAAGTGACTTAATAAGACAACAGAATTAAGAATTTATTTATAGTAGTAATTAGTGTAAATTTGTAGATTTAAAATTATATATATAAAATATTTTATATTTTTATTTATTGTTTGCAAACAAATATTTTTTAACAATAGAATGTTTATTAAATTTTTGTTTTATTAATAAATTAATAAAAACTAATATTTATACAAAAAAATTAAAAATTATTTGTCAAAATTAAGAATAGTGTTAAGATTTGCTATGTTTTGTTTAATCAATTTCTCGTTGCATTCTAAATGCGATACTTGTTTTTCTAATAATAAAATTCTTGATACATGATTATTTACTACAGAATTTAGCCTTTTGATCTCTTCAGAATAATATGAAGGTTTGACATGAATACAATTCGGAAGATTCTTTTTGTAGCAGTTTTTACAAATCTTAGGGTTTTCTAATGATTTTTCATATTTTATTTCATGTTCTCGGCAATAAAAACATCGTGTATTTTTAGTTGATGTTTTTTGTCTTTTGATTGATTTTAAAGCAGCCATTATCAAGAGATTTTAGATAAAAATTACAAGATTTTAACCAGTATTTATATATTTTAAAGACAAGTTTAAGAATTAAATAAAATTTATTTTAATTATAGTTTTTAATAAATTTTAACTAAATTGCAACAGTCACAATTAATTAAAATATAATTGCAATTAGAATTTTTATATAATAAAATTTTATTTATTTCAAAAACATCAAAAGTCTTTTGAATCTTATCATATGTTATAATAAAATTATTATGTCATTTAAATATATTTGATTCTTGTTTAAGTAAAATTCAAAGAATTTTTCAACAGGTATAATATGATGAATTGGTATACGAAATTTATTTGTTTTTGAAGTCATCTTTTAATAAAAATATTTTTTGACCAAGTAATTTTAATACATTTAAATAATTTTTATTGAATAATAATAAAGAAGAATAATAATAATAAATTAATAAATTTAAAAAAAATTTACTATATATTTATAAAAAATTTATTGAACTATAATTTTTTAAAACTATGTTGTAATTCTAGAAATAAAGAATTATTTTTGTTATTTCTTTAAAACTCTTTATATTTAGTTTCTTCACTAATATCTAAAATTATGTCTTCATTATAGTCAAAATTATCAATTTCTAAATTGTTAGATTCTTTTTTATCAAGTGATTCTTGATAATTTTTTTGGTATT